AAGGAAATTGTACAAGATTCTTAAAGACTATCACCCAAAATGAAGATTTCATTCAAGGAAGTGGATTTTTCTACCTTTTCCATATTTCTTGGGTCCGAGAGATGTCTTTTCGTTATTTCTGATATAATTTAATAATTAGGATGGTGGCTAGATTTTTCCTTTGTATTTGATGAATGATGAACCCTATTATTTTTTTATTAAAATTCAAGACAATTATTTTAGAATTTCATGATTTTTCTTGATTGATTTTGCATTCACATTGAACTATTTGATTGTTTGATCACCAATTAGATAGTAAGTTGCTCGTTAAGTATACGAATACTCACAATAAGTCTATAACGCGGTAAAATCAACACATAGACAATAGGTATTAGGAATAATATCTATAGCATGTGTAATCATGTGTGATAAATCCTTTGAATCAATGCATGTTTTCATGTTAATTTAGACTAAGAATAAGATCGGGCCGTGTTAAACATAGGTTTAATATATCTTGAAAAATAATATTGAATAAAAGTGGATTATTGATTGTCTTGAATGCATAAATTTACTAAATTACGAATTAAGAGTTGAATTAAATGGCAATAGGGGATTCACGATTTCAATACATTCATATATTAGATAAATATTTTATTTGCTTTCTTAGTTTAGGATTAGCTTAAAATACATACAAAACAACTCCTTTAATTTATATCCCTTTGAATTCAATAAAAGCTATTGAACCAGTTATTAGACCTTACTCCTCATGCGAACGATACTCTTAACTCACGAATCTATTACTTGTACAACGATCCCACATGCTTGCGTGATTTCTACGAACACTTGTGGTCATAGGTACCCAACAAAGCGTCGTGAAACATCGACGAAGGTTGTGCAGTGCAAGGACATAAGAGGTGGTGATAGGGTGCCCAGACATAGACAGCAGGGTGACACAATAGAGAGATGTATTGTAATATGATGTCAAGACCTAGGGTGACACAATGTTAAGACATAGGGCGACAAAACATCAAGACATAGAGTGACTCAACGCGACATCAAGACACAGGTGAACATGATGGCAATACAAAATGCACATCGTGTTTGACATGTCATTGACGCAAAATCCGATGAAAATTAAGACAAACATGAGACATGAAGGCATAAATGAGGCCATGACACTGTGCTTGAAGAGTGTGGAAAAATGTGCATCCAAAAAACGAGCAAACTCATATGGAATAGGCAATAGGTCGAACGATTGGCGAGCATGTGGAAAACAATAGTTTCAAACTAAAATGCAAACCAACCAAGTAATCCATCAACTGAACCTATCCCAACCTCTATCAAAAGTGTGTGCAACTGCAAAAAGTAAATAACCCTAATGTACGTGATCATGAATAAAATTTCAAAGCTTGATGTTGGTTTGTGACACAGAGGTAATGAAAATTTTAAACAGCCTCCTAAATATGCAATCACATTGGAAGAATGGATACAATTGTGCAAAAGATTCGAAAATCCCCAGAAAGGGGGGGGGGACAAAACTAAAAAAAAAAACTAGGGTTTAGAAATTACCTTCAAATCATGATGCAATTTCAAAATGAATTGATGTGAAATGATTACAAGGTAGATGTTCACACGTCTAAATGATGAATTTATCAAGAATTGGAGATGAGCAGCAAGAATTTGAGAGAAAATCGAAGAAAAAAGGATGAAAATTGAAGCTACAATGTATTTCAAACATCACTTAAACTTGTCACATCGTTCGAGTGAACGTCGAGTGAGAAATGCATTGGTTTCGTCACCCGAGTGATGCCTAATGCTAGGCGGGCATTAAATTTGACAAAAATAGCACCAATTTTTTTTTGAATTTTTTGAATTTTAGCACATTTTTTGAAATCATGGTATGCACTTCAAAATGCATGTCATTCTAAAAATGCACTCGATCACAAATATGACACACTCAACGAATAGAAATGCTGCCCCATATATAGATCAAGTTTAGACGGAACAAGTTGTATATGTGACCCATATGTGAAACGTTCCACGAATTCCATGTAAACAAGGCTCCAAACTTTATTTTATAAGAAGGGGCATGCTAAGATCACTGTAGAATGAGTGTATTCCTCTCCCAATGAAAGTCAAATTGATATACAGTGTTTGAGTTTATTTCTTCCCCCATATGTAATAACCTTTTTGTATCTTATATGCAATCCCATCTCCATTATGTGACTGAGATGACCCCTACAGCGAGCTTTGGGCTGGTGACTCCAAATTAGTTGACCATAGGGCACTAGGTTATGAGAAACTCCTCAGGCTTAATTGCATGAGTTAGATAGGTTTTGAGGACATATAAGAAAAGTTATGATTAGGAATTTAGGAACATATCTCAAATTTTGTTACGGAAACGACACCAAAAGTAAGGTCAAGCTAGTTACAGATCAATTCACTTTCAAGTTTATCTCATCAACAGAGAACAACCATCCCAAATCTCCACATGCCATCAAGGCACATTTATAATAACATAGTGTGTGCCCCACATGCATAGATACCACGTCACATACCACTTCATCATGATAATTCCCAATTGAGAAATTAATCAAAACCCTCCTATTCACCTTGATTTCTCCACATTCATTCAGCAATTAAAGCCTATAAGGTCTAAGATGTTTCAATAAAATTAATCCCAATTTTCTACCAAGGCTGTGCTAGTCACATTTGTGCAACTCCCACCATCGATGTTCAAACTACATACCTTATCATTAAGTGGCATAGAGTGTGAAATATATTCTCTTGCCTCTGCTCGAAATCATCTGCCTTGATTTGAGTGTTGAGAGCTTGCCTCATGACTAACAGCTCTCTTACAGTATATTTTACTTTAACCCCATCACTAATTACTTCTAACTGCGGCATGTCATCATATTCACCTTTACTTTTGCTCACCACCTTTCCATTATCCCACAACACCATCGCCTATTTGTTTGGACACTGAGGAGTGATGTGTCTCGACCCTAAGCACCTGAAACACTTAATACCCCTGTTGAGATTCCGCTTTGGGTACGATTTTGCTAGCACTCTCTTCTTTTCCTCTTGGTAACTCAGTCCAACCCTTAGAAACAGCTTCGTCTTCTTTATTGTTATCCCACTTCCATTTTCAAGATGAGTTAGAAGCCAAAGTTCCCATTGGCTGCCTAGCAGTCCCCTTCTGCTTCAATTGCTTTTTCACCTTCATCGCCATTTGCAACATATCCTCCAACTTCACATAATGTTGTAGCTCCACCACATTGGCTATATCCCTATTCAACCCATTTAGAAAATGAGACAAGTGGCCTTTCGTTCCTCCTCCACGTTCGCCCTAGTCATCAATATCTCCATCTCCTTGTGGTAATCCTCTACACTCTTCGAACCCTGATATAAACTTTGTAATATTTGATAGAGTTCTATATAGTAGTGAATAGGCACAAACCAGTTTCTCATCACAGCCTTCAACTTATCCCAAGTGTTGATAGGCCTCTCACGATTTCCACATCGTGAAGTGACTATTTGATTCCACTAAGTTATCACGTAGTTAGTGAATTCTAGAACCACTATATTCACCTTTTTCTCCTCCGAGTAGTTATGGCACTCAAAATTTAACTCCACCTTCTTTTTTCAATCTAAATAAGCTTTAGTATCAATTTTCTCTTTAAACAACGGAATGGACTCTTAATGCACCCATATTACCATCTATCTCGTCTCCATGATTATTCCTACCCCATCATTCAAGCCTATCACCTCTACTCCGCATACATCCCATTTCAAATCCTTCATACTCATCTTCATCCAAATCAATATTGTAATCGTACGCCCCCCACCTATCTGTCCTAGGCTCTCGACTACCCAGCCACTTAGCATGAAGTGCTTTCGCTCGTTGCTCCTGCTAAGATTTTTAATCGATGTATCAAGCCTATCTAACCTATCGTCCATATCTACTAACAACCTCTCGAACCGCCTTATCATATCATCCGACGCATTGGAACCTTCTCTATCAGACATCCTAAATCTAAAAATTTTTTGCCTTACCAATACTTCACTCGAAATCACACAATAAAGCTTTTAACCTCTAATGATCTCACCTCTTTGCCTTTAACCACTGAGTACTTTCTTCCAAGTACTTCAAAGAACAAGTGAACTCAACAAAATTTAATCTTGTGGATTCTAAACCAGATGAATCAAGAATTATGACAATAATGGAAATTCAACACAATGGGAATGCAATTTGAATGAAAAGCTAATAAAATTCAAGAGTGTTTGAACGAAAATTAAGGGAATGGAACAAATTTGACTTAAGGAAATTATAAGATTGCTGGCGTTAAATTGAATAATAACAATATCTTCTTTTTTTTTCGAACTGCTCTGTCTTTTTTTTTTTTTTTTTAACTTTTGTAGGAAAATTAACTACAATACCAACAAAATAAACAAACATGAAGGATTTACGATAATGTCACATATCTAAGACTCAAATAACGAAGAAATAACAAGAATGCGATAAGAATCTATGACAAATAAGAATTAAAGACTTAAATAAGGACAAACACACAAAAATAATGCGGAATCTATTAAAACAAAGAATTAAAGACTCAACAAGAAAACAAAAGGGTATAACCTCGATTAATTTGGAGCCTATACTCTGATACCAACTGATGTGAACCCACGTAGCATGGAAGCTACAGAATCCACACAAGATTGATAGATAACCCAGGAAAGCCAATTAACCCCGATTTGTGGATTCAACCCAAGAAAAAAAAATTAGCCAAGCAACCTCGTAAAATGATGTTTGAAAGGCCTCTTGATTACACAACACAAGAATTGCACCCAATGTTTGAATGCCACAAGATTTGCACCTTGATAAGTTCAAAATTGTTCAAAAGAAGAACAATGGAATTTGAAAGCAATAAGCCTCAAAATTTTATTTCTCTCAAAATTGAAGTTGTTTTACAATGAAAGATAAAACCTATTTTCTATAAAAACCTAAATATGGGTTAAACATGGAAATAAGGTTTAAAATATTACAAAATATCATCCCAAATACAATTCTATTGAAATAAAAAAAATACATGAAAAAGGAAAAAATTTGCCCCGAATTTACTCTATGCGACTACATGGTTGTCCATGGTGCGGTCGCATGCTTCAAGCCCTCACTGCCTCCAAACTTTCAGTAGACCACCATGCGACCACATGGTCTTTTGTACTATACGGTCACACAATTCACTTTATAGGTCCCATCTTCGTCCACGCGTATTAAGTTGATCCAATCACTTCTGGCTCTCAATCCCAACATGGAACTTTCCCTATTTTGCACCAAGATTATCGCCTCTTCAATCATTGATTTAACAAATAGCCCCATCGCTTAATTTAGCCGCATTTCGTTTAAACACATCATCAGTCCACCTTTGATAATCAACGGGTCTCATCCTGGACTTGTCTTCAATAGGCTCGGCTCTTGGATCACATCATTAGATCTCTCCTATATCAACTTAGGTGGGAGGATCCCCACTGATGTGATTAAGTTAAACAATTTGACAGTCTTCAATGTGGTGCCTAAATATTTAACAAGTACAATACCAGAGAAATTTCAATTTGGGACATTCGATGAAGGTAGTTATCAAGGAAATCCTTATCTTTGTAGTCGTCTATTACCTAATGACTATACTAGCTTTGGATCAACACCTGTCTTGCCATCTGCTAATGATGAAAGTGAGAAGCACGGTTTCATGGACATGGAGTTCTTCTACATAAGCTTCATCATATCTTATTTATTTGTATTGATTTGCATTGCTACAGTTCTATCCATGAATCCTCACTGGAGAAAAGCATGGTTTCATTTCATCGACATTTATATAATCCATTTTTGAGGCCATGTAATGTCCTAAAAATTTTGGTAGAACAGAATTTAATGTTTGTATGCTATATTTTAATGTTTTGAAAGTTTAGGGACTAAAGTATATGTAAAGTAAATTTCAATTTTATTTGGGAAAAAATGTAGATAGTGATGGAGCGATAATAAGTATGTGAATATTGGGTTCGTTAGATAGATCGCAATTGATTTGCATGTTAGAGTTGAGAAAAAGTTAATTTGGATTAGTGGAGTCTAAATTATCGAGGTCCAAAGATATAGCCTTAATTTATTATTATTATTATTATTATTATTATTATTATTATTATTATTATTATTATTATTATTATTAATTGAATATGCATTGGATTGGGTAGTTCACGTGTAAAATGCTTGGTAGGTGGTAGGTTAGTGATTGATTTGCTTATTAAATATGGTTTTAAAGATTAAAAAGAGAGAGAAGAAAGATATGGAAAGCTGAGCACATGAGTAGTAGTGGTTTAGAATTGATTTTTTTTTTCAACTAAAACTTTGGATTGCAAGGATGTCACCACGTGTACTAAAATAATATTTTGGGTAACAAGATTTACTTAGATGTTTTGTTGCAAAGTTTACATTTCCCCATTTATCCATAACTATCCCCACTTCTACATGTCTCCTCCACATTACACCAATCCTTTGGAATTTAAAGTATAACTGTCTATGTATTTAGACGCATTACACAAGAAAAGGGACACAAAAATATTTATGCACAACTCACAATGACAATAGAGGTTGAAAAAGGGAGGAACGATATTCTTATTTTGTTTCCAAAAACTAAAGCAAGTTAACAAGGATCAAGGTGCAGTTCTCTATGCCTCGCTTAATTTTTTTTTTTTTTTACATGTTGATGAATTTTGTACTCATGAAAGTTAAAGTTATGATATGAAATGCTATAATATGAATGATATGGCCATTTTCAGTATAATGATATGATATGACATCAAGTCTTACTGGATTTTAAAGATATGAGACGGTATGATATTCTGATACATGTGTTTAAAAAATTTTATACGGGAACGCATCATTAATTTTTTTTTTATATCCTACTGAGTATTCCCATATACTCACCATTTTCCCTACCCCTCATAGGTTAGATCGGGTCGTATTGGAGCGTGGTTGTTCGATGGTGTGTTTGTGCCTTGTTTCGTCTAATAAAGATTTAAGTTAACACGTAATTTTATTTATTTTACGTTTATTGCAAAAGACATTTATAAATAAATTTCCGTACATGTTTTGTGGCAGATGAATATACATAATTTGCATTTTAAATAGAATTTCGATTCAAATGTTATTTTTCTTTCTACCGATTTCACTGTTAGAAAGTGGCTGGATATGCTTTTACTATTTTGTTCATGTCAAAGATTAGCTTTATGGAGTTTTCTATGACATTCCCATATATTATAAAAGCATGTGGTCAAAGCAAATGTCACATCATCTTTTCTTCACTTGTCTACCTTGGATTTTCCGACTTGTAATAAAAAGAATTGGAGACTTCCATGTTGGTAGGGAATGACAGTTCTATGCATGCAGTGTGTATTTTTCTCCTTTTTTGAATTTAGTTTGTGGTTTTTGGTTACCATGCAAATCCAACTAAATTGATTAGTTGTAATAATTGTCAAAGGAATTTATCACACTACTTACGTTGAAAATAGTTACAATTATTATTCATTCATAAGAAATTAACAGATTGGTAAAAATTTATTTTTAACCTTTAGTAGCAACTTAAAATATAATAAAAAATTTGGATCATTAAAATTTGGTATCGGAGCCTAGGTTTAATTTCCTGCAAACCCAGGTGTATTCTAAATAATTTGAGTATAAAAATAAAAAAATGGAGAGACATGAACAGTGATTGTCATTGTTCACATGTTACTTTTCAATGGAACAGTGACATCACTATTATGATTAATTTGAGTATAAAAATAAAAAAATGGAGGGACATGAACAGTGATTGTCACTATTCACACGTTACTTTTCAATGGAACAGTGACACCACTGTTATGATTAAAAGTGCTATTCTTAAAAATGGAGAAAGTATGTAATGAAATTAATAATCTTTAAATATGTTTGAGTTGACTGTCAGAGCCTTCCTTGAATATTGGTTTAATATACTTATATCTACATAAAAGAAATCATGTGAAGAGCAAGTGGTAAGAGAGGAAAAAAAATTTTAATTTTCGGATTCACGTGAACAGTGTTTTTTTTTTTTTAAAAAAAAAAGGGGGTTTGGGTGTTTAGTTTCATGTTTGGTTGTTACATAAGTTTGAAGCCTATTTTCTTTAATCTAAAAGTGTGACATAGACCCGTTAGCTACTTCTAAAAAATAAATAAATGAATAAAATTTTGGAAATTATTTTAAATGAAAAATACATATAAATATGTATATGTATGTGTTCTAAATGTCGCGTGTAATGAATATTTAGTTGTTAGTTGTTTAATTGAGTAATGTTTTGTTAAAAAAAAAACAATTTTATTTTCTTGAAGTCTATGAATTTAACGATAATGTCAATTTAAAGTTATTAAATATGTGAGCGATTTGGCACTCAACGATCACCAATCGGCCACCCTCCAATGACTGTAAGGTATGTAAAGGGGTAAGTAGATAAATACACTTAGATGTTTTGCATAACTTAAACATTTTAAATTGCTTACTTTTCAAAATTTTAAGACATGCACTTCGTTTTTCCACTAAATAAATGATATGCATTACGGTAAAAATAAGTATGACATGTTAGACTTAGTAATGGAATGTGACTGGTGACTTCTTATTAAATTTTAGAAAATGGCATCACCTACTCACACGAACTTGATGCGCGATTTACTACGAGCGATACAAGAACTTAGCAATCAGAGCCAAGTAGCACCTCCACAGAATGCACCGCCACAACAAAATACACCTCCTTTTGTCCCAGGAGCTATCTCAGTGGTTGAGCAATTTCATAGGTACAAGCCTCCAACTTTCGATGGTGGTTCTGACCCACTGGCTGTTTAGGAGTGGATTAGAGAAATGGAGCGCATCTTTCGACACATCGCTTGTACGGATGCACCGAAAATGCTATGCACAAAATTTATGTTTGTTGGAGGAACTAGTCACTGGTGGGAATCTGTCTCAGGCACTAGGACGGAAGAGCAGCAATGTAACTTGATTTGGGAGCAGTTTAAGGATGAAATAATGGCAAAATATTTTCCACAGGCTTTGAGAGACTTCAAGGAATCAAAGTTTCTGCAACTCAGGCAGGGAGATATGTCGCTTACTGATTACAAAAGGCAGTTTGAGCAGCTCTCAAGATATGCCCCGCATTTAGTGGATACTGAAGTTAAGAAGATTAGGAGGTTTGAAAATGGACTTGGCCTAGAGATCGACATGATCATTATGTCTCATCGTTTCACATCATATCGTGAGATGTTGGAGAGAGCCCACGCTATTTCATATCAGAGGACCACATTTGGACAGTATGCCCACCAAAGTAGGGAGTCGTTGGAAAAAGAAAGTGGAGTAATCAGAACATGAACAAACTTAATTGGCAAAATAAAAGGCCAAGCACAGGAGTTCGTATTGGTGGGATGAGTGGGAGTATTACACCTTGTCCCAAGTGTAATAAACTCCATAGGGGTAAATGTTTACTTGGGAAGAACATGCAACTGCACAGAGCCTCCAAAAAAGAATGATGATGATCAGGACAAGAACAAGAAAGGAAATGCCCGGGTTTTGGCATTGAATCAGCATAAGGTGGAGTAGGATCCGAATGTGATAGCAGGTATTTTATTAGTAAGATTTTCAACATAGATGCTTATGTTCTTTTTACCTAGGACCATACATTATTTTATCTCTGTCACTTGATTGCTAATCTTACATTATAATTGCAAAAAATAGGTATTCTGTTATTATATGATGTACCTACTTGCGTTCTTTTTGATTTTGGGGCTACCAATTCTTTTATCTCTGCATCATTCGACGCTAGGTCAAACTTTGCATGTGTGAGAATGAATTATGAATTAGATGTTAGCATCCCTTCAGGAAGGACTCTTTGTACAAATTGGATAACTAAGGCTTTGAAGTTCTCTACTGATGGGAAAATATTACAAGCAGACTTATACCTTTTGGAGATGAAAGATTCTGATTTTATTTTGGGCATGGATTGTTTAGGACTTAATCATGCGACCATTTGATATCACGAGAAAGAAGTATTGTTTCACAGATCGGGAGAGGAACAATTTAGCTTCTTTGGAGCAAAGTTCAAGTCTTTGCCTTGTCTTGTATCGGCTATTCAAGCGGAAAAGATGTTGAAAAAGGAGCCATATCAAGAATATCTAATTAATATCACTAGTCCCCAACACACAAAAACGACTGTTAACGATATTAACATTGCCCAAGATTTTGCCTATGTATTCCCAGAAGATTTACCAGGTATTCCACAAGATAGGTAAGTGAAATTTACAATTGATTTGGTTCATGGAGTAGCACTAGTATCCAAGGCCCCGCACCGAATGGCACCGAAAAAACTTCAAGAATTGAAGTTGCAATTAGAGGAGTTGTTGAGAAAGGTGTCATTCGACCAAGTGTATCTCTTTGGGGAGCTCCTGTACTTTTTGTCAAGAAGAAAGATGGGAGTATGACGATTGCATTGACTACCGGGAATTGAACCATCTAACCATGAAAAATAAGTACTCATTGCCAAGAATAGAAGATTTGTTAGACCAGTTAAGGGGTGCTACAGTGTTTTCAAAGATTGAACTGAGGTAAGGGTATCAACAGCTAAAGATCAGGGCAAGCGATATACCAAAAACTGCCTTCAGAACTCATTATGGACACTATGACTTCACTGTCATGCCTTTTGTTTTAACTAATGCTCCAGCAATATTTATGGATCTCATGAATCAAGTGTTCCATCAGTACTTAGATCAGTTCATCATAGTATTTATTGCCGACATACTTGTGTACTAAAAGGATAAGAAGCAACATGAGGAACAACTTCGAATGGTAATTGAAACTTTGAGGAATGAGAAATTATATGCCAAGTTCAAGAAGTGTGAATTTTGGCTTGATCACGTAGGTTTTCTTAGTCGTGTGGTTACCGCCCAAGGAATCGAAGTGATCCTATTAAAGTACAAGTAGTAACAAACTGGCCAAGGCCGACCAGTGTGGTGAAGTCCGCAGTTTTTTGGGATTGGCTGGTTATTATAGAAGATTCATTGAAGGCTTCTCAAAAATAGCAGGGGTAGAATCCCAAATTTTTGTAGTTGGTTTGCATATAATTTATTTGCCATTAATAGAAATGCCATGTCTAGTCAAGAATTTATGCAAAAGTGAATTTGTTATCTCTATAGTTAATTTGGATGTATATGAATATCTTCATAGTTGAGGGACCAAAGTGAAAATAAATATAAAAAATTTTACTTTTGTTAAATGGGCCAAATAGTTAACTCTTGGAGGAACTAGAATTACCTTATCAATATTTGGCTCATTTTGAAGCTTGTTAAAAAAAATGGTGAATTAGGGACTCAAGAAAATTTTAATTTGGATAAGTGAAACTCGAGTATAGCCAATTAAGAAAACTACTTAGTTAATAATATTAGTTACCAATTCGGACTAAATTACTATATCAATATTGGACTCCTTTGATAAATGGTAAATAATTATATATATTAGGACTGGGAAAAGGATATTTTGGGATAAGTTGAATTAAGATAAAAATCAATAAAAGAATCAAGGTATAAATGAAATTCTAATTAATTAGTAAGCATACAGTTCATTTTCGGCCGGAATTGAATAAGTTAAGTGTTGATAATTATAAAATTCAATTAGGATTGAAACTAAATGTAAACCCTTAATTACGTGGGATTTGAGTTACATCAGTTTTCTTTAATAAACCTTAGTATTAGATTAGTTAGGATTCTAATGAATTAAAACTAGTTAAGTTGTACAAAAATTGCATTGGGAACATCCTGCCAATGATATTGTTTCAATGAAAGATAGAAGATAAATTAATTATTTATTTAAGTTGTTTGTTTGTATTAGAATAAAAAATATTTAATGCACGCAATTCATTCCATCCTCACGTGTGCATGGGATACGTAGTCATTATGTTTCTCATCAAAACCAATAGTCAATTTCCAATCAAATTATATCAAATAGGAGTCTAGGAGTCCAGACCAATTTCTGGGAAAGAGGACGGAAATTTTAGATGACTACCTAAAGCATTCTACTATACTTTATTCTCTCCCTCTCTAAATTTTCCTCTATATTACTAAGGCTTTATACCCAAATCAATCTACCATATTTTATTTCACAAGCAACCAAGAGAAAAATCTCAGCAAACAAGTTCCCACAATTTGCTTTTCAAGTGCATATTATAAAACAAGATTCATTTCGTAAGGTACCTGCTCAGTGCTATTAGTGGTTTTCCACATCTTTTCAAATACGTTGTTATGTATGAATTTAACTATTTCAGTTCAGGGCTTCTTAGGGAGAAATCATGATACATTTTAAGTTAGCCTTCACGTTATTTTGTAGCGCTTGCTTGAATTATCTTTGCCATGGTGTGATAATTCTCATTTTATGTTGTTAAGAGAATTTGTGCTTAATTTCATATTTGATTTAAATGTGGAGTAGCAAGCATCTCATTGAATATAATTCATTCTACTCATCCCTCTTTATTTATGAATATCAAGTATGCGGGATGGCGGTGGATGGATGTGCTATTGGACCAACATATTCACGTCATGAAGTACTTTAATTTTAAGAACACTAGAATTTTAACAACATATTATTATTAGTTTTGTTTTTAGACTCAATTGTGAGTGACGTTAAATTTTTCATCTAGTCCTAATTCTATTGTTTGTTGGAACTAGTTTTTATTTATGTTGATCAACGATATGATTTCAAAGCGTTCCACATATTTTATTAAATTCAATTTATCTTTCGTTAAAGGTAATTCAATTTTTACTAAATTTGTCATTATATTAAAATTATTTGCTTCAAGCACTTTAATAAATTCATGTTTTGAAACGTTTCAGGTTGCCAGAACTCGGGGCGTTACAGTTTGGTATCGGAGGAAAGGTTTACTTTCTTATAGATTTTTCAGGTTTAAATCTCCAAAAAAAAAAAAAAGGGCTATACTTGTGTAGTCTTTTATTAAAATTTTATTGTTTGAGTTTTCTTGGTTTGTATATTCATAAAACTAAAAGGTTTTGTCAAAAAACCCATTCACAAAATTTATACTTATAATAGTAATAATAAATTACGAGATCTGTGAAATCCAATGCTCATCAATCTGCCACTGTCCGGTATTTTTAAGGTACGAAAAGATGAAAAATATTTTTATTTATTGATGTTATCCTTCAAATTTCTGTTTTATACAAATTAAATGTATAATCCCATGAGTTTTTCTTACACATCATTTTATTTCACAAGTATATTAATTAAGCATATTAGTATTTTGTGTAGGATTGTACGATTAGTGATACGATTCTCATATGACTAAAACTTAATGTATAACACTTTGAACTTAGTATAATAAACACGACATACATAGCTAAACATAGTAAGACCTATAGAAAGAGTGTAGTATGGTTGAATAGTTCTTAAGATAAATTATTTTTAATTAAAGGAAATGGCACGATGACAACAAGATCAAGCTACTATATTCAAAGATTTACTAAGGGCAGTGCAAGATTTGGGTAGACAACAGGCTCAAGTAGTCCCTCATAATGTAGCAGGAGGTGCCAATACCATGAGCTCGATTGTTGAGCAATTTCATCACTTTAAACCCCCGTTATTTGATGGTAAAGGTGATCCTTTTGCAGCCGAGGAGTAGTTAAGAAGACTTGAAGGGATATTAAGCACATGAACTGCAACGATGCTGAAAAGGTTTCTTGTGCGAAGTTTATGTTGACTAATGATGCTGGACATTGGTGGGAGTCGAAATCAAGCACTAGAACTACCGAACAACAACGTAACCTCACTTGGAACCAGTTCAAGGAGAGAATAAGGGAATCATCGCAACCCAACAGTATACTACTTATACGGAAGTGGTATGTCGAGCACAAGCAATCTCTAACGGTTTAGGATTGGAAAAGAAAACCCAACCCAGCGTCAAGTCTTCCACAAAGAGAAAGTGGCAAGGTCAAGACAAAGAGAAAGGCAGGGATCAGAATAAGAAAAGAAAGCTTTGGACCGACATAAACAAAACTTTTCCTCAATACTTCAATTGCAACAAGCGACATTTGGGTGAATGTCTTTAGGGAAAGGGAGCATGCTACATTTGTGGTAAGAGTGGTCATTTCCTTAGAGAATGTCCAGAGAAGAAGAAAGAAGGTGACCAACTTAAGAAGGGAAAGGCCAAAGTATTTGCTTTGACAAAAGAAAAGGAAAATCAGAACACAGACGTAATAACAGGTATGTTGCCAGTATCTGATGTACCTGCTATTGTCCTTATGGATTCTGGATCAACTCATCCATTTATTTCTACAATTTCCATGGATAAGATTGGGAATAAATTCGTAAAAATG